CTTCTTCTTCTTCTTTTTCTTCTTCTTTTTCTTCTTCTTTTTCTTCTTCTTCAAGAAGCTCTTTTCTTCTTCTTTTTCTTCTTCTTCAAGAAGCTCTTTTCTTCTTCTTTTTCTTCTTCTTCAAGAAGCTGTTTTCTTCTTTTTCTTTTTCTTCTTCTTCAAGAAGCTGTTTTTTCTTCTTTTTCTTCTTCTTCTTCAAGAAGCTCTTTTCTTCTTCTTTTTCTTCTTCTTTTTCTTCTTCTTCAAGAAGCTCTTTTCTTCTTCTTTTTCTTCATCTTCAAGAAACTGTTTTCTTCTTCTTCTCTTTCTTCTTCTTCAAGAAGCTTTTTTCTTTTATATTTTTTCTTCTTCAAGGAGTTGTTTACTTTCTTTCTTCTTTTAAACCCTGCAAGTTGAAAAAGGTTGTTTAAATTATAAAAAGAAAACTTTAACTCTTAAACGACGTGTACAAAGTGTAAAGAAAAATTAAAGCCTTTAAAAACAGTGTAAATTTGGCAGAAACGACTTCAGCTATAGGAGACAGCTTTCTTCAACAGTATTCTTAATTGGACAGGAAACATTTCTGATGTTTTTTTTTTCAAATTATTCTTATTGGAAATTGCTGTTTTGATGTTGTGTTTGCAAAAGCCGATTCTTTCATTTGATACCAATTCTTCGAATATTGACGGTCTCATGTTATTCAGAAATAAAATTTGTACTGTTAATTAATACCCCTTACCATAGAGACTGCATAAATTTGTAGAGCAAATGAATAATTTTCTAAATCATAAGTTCAACCAACTCTGTCTCATGTTACTTGTATAAAAAATGGCCACCTCCAAGCAATCTGACCCTACGTCACTTGCTCTATAAACATAATGAGGAATATAGCCTGGAAAATCATACAACTGACCAATCAAGGTGAAGTTATTATTGACAGAAAGTTGATTAATAAAGCCTGGAGCGGTGCAATAAATAGGTTAAGATATATTAAAATTCTTTTTGTAAATATTATTACATCTTTTATGCGTATGTATCTTAATTAGTAAATGTCGCATCCACCATATGACTATTGATGAATTATTTCCCTTGCTTAAAAAAAAATAATTAAAATGTATACCTTTCTTGCTAAAGTACTATCAAATTACCTCCTCCTAATTTTCGAAACTGTTACTTGGGGACGTTTTCCGCTATTATAAAAACTCCGTGATAATTATTTGCATCCTCTTTTTACTTTTCCATGGAATTCACTTTCCGGTATCTTTGTCAGGAACCAAGATGAGGCTATGTCGAAGCGCAGAGTTTCATCTGGAGACTATAGACAGCTACCCGACCCCGTGTATACGGGGGTCTACGGGGAATTTTTGCCCGATCCTACGGGCTCGGTTTACCTCACATTATATCGGCCTTGTGCCACATCTGACCGCGTGGAGAGGTTAATGAATATCTTCTTACTTTTCCGCTTATACGACAACATGAACATCTCTCGCGGAAGATCACGTTCCCTTTTTGGTAAACGCATGAACAATACATACACACACACACACACGCACACACACACACACACACACGTACGTACGCACATTCACTCACTACACATACTTTGGACAATTAGGTTTCCCCATTCATCTGTTACACAAATTTATGTCTTTGTCACTTGTAACCCTTTATTGCTAATACATTATCATTTGTTTGTATATATATGTTGATCCGTTTTGTTTCTTTACATTTTTTTTACGTGGACTCATATCCCGAGTCTGCCATGTTTGTTGTGAGCATTTCAGGAGACACACGTGTTTATCTATCAACGCGTAGACCGGCTCGCAACACAAATATCAAATCTATCAGGTCATCCCATAAGTTCTGTCCGAATTTTAACTTTTTGTTAAAATGAACGAAATTTAAAGAGAATTTTATAATGTCTAATGCAGCTGAACATTATTTTTATGTTTAGATGCATTTAAACTGATCAAATTTTATTTCAGAGAACAATAAAATTAAATTTTGTTTGATTAAAACCCTGCTAACATGGAAGTACCCAAGAATCATTTGAGGCACATAATGCTTTATGAGTTCAAGAAAGGAAACTCAGCAGCCGAAGCGGCTAGAAACATTCACTCAATTTATGGAGAGGAATGTGCGAATGAAAGAACATGCAGAAGATGGTCTGTCAGCAATTAGAGCGTTTGAATCAAGCTTTGAGCAAAAAAAGACCTGCTCTAGGGAATCGAAAAGAGGTGATGTTTCATCAGGACAATGCGCGACCCCACACAGCAAGAATCACGTCACAAAAGATCGAAGAACTTGGTTGGGAGAAAATTCCTCATCCACCTTATTCTCCCGATCTTGCTCCTTCAGACTACCATTTGTTTCGTAGCTTACAGAATCATTTGGAAGAAATAGCTTTTGTAACACAGGAAGAGGTTAAAACTGACAGTTGTGAGTTCTTCGAATCAAAGCCAAAAGAATTTTACAGTAATGGAATTAGTAAGCTTGTTAATAGATGGAAGGAAGTCATAGATAATCAGGGAAAATACATTGCTGATTGAATCTGTAATTAATTGTAACATTTGGTCACTTGTTTTCTTTATTCAAAATTCGGACAGAACTTATGGGATGACCTGATAATTTAATGACAATTAATATTTATTATTGAATTATTAATTTAATAAAGTAATTAAAAATTTATTACTAGTGATTTTATTTAAAATAATAATTTTTCTTTTGTAGTAAATTCATATGTAAAAGTGTTTTTTCTTGCGCGTGTGTGTGTTTGTATGTGTGTTTTTAGAGACCTGCAAATAAAAACATAAATTAAAAAAAAAAATTATTGTCTTGTAGATTCCTGAAATCAGGACTCTTTTGGGGTTTATTTTATTTCCTTTTTCTTGTAATACAGATTCCTGTAATTAAATTCTTCGTTTTCAAACAGAAATGAAATGCGAAACGGTGCTGAAAAGGTGTCGGCCCAACCAAGACGAATAACCTCGAGCCATCAAGCGTACATGCTATTCCACATATTCACACGATTGGTACATTGTTTTCTTCAAATTTCTTTAATCCTTTCTCCCCCACAAATTCTTATGCTCGCTCATTTAAAAATTGCTCGACTGCTTCTGCTATTGTTGTGGGCCACTGTATGCGTTGTGAGATAAACACGCGTGTCTCCTGAAATGCCCACAACAAACATGGCGGAGTCGGAGTACGAGACTATCTTAAAGAAATGTGAAGAAACAAGAACCGATACGTATGTACAAACAAATAATAATGTATTAACAAAGTTTTACAAGTAACAAAGACAATAATATATGTAACAAATAAATGTGGAAATTTTAAGAGGAAATAACCCAACACTATGACCTGTGAATCCCTCGGAAATGTCTTCCTGTTTCAAACAAAATTTTAAGGACTGAAAGTAGAAAATATTCAGATGAAGCAAGACCTGATGAATAGGGAACATTGTCTGTACAATAAAACTCCACATTCTTCAGAACACCCATTGTCTTTCAAACCCTGCTAGTTGTCGACGCTAGTTGTCGATACATTGACGTAAACGTCAATTCACACCTCCATAACCAAACACAACGGTTAGACATGATTCTCTTATTTCCAACTAAATTTTTTCTGCTAAAAAATTAAGTGATATTTGTTTCAAATTACATTAAGTATACTTTAAATTTTCTAATTTTCCTAAAATAACTTTTGACAAAAATATAATTGAATTTTACAAGATTTGTAAACGGAGAATTTCACTTTTCTTTACAAAGTTCTCAAAATGGCTGACATGATCGATTTTATGTAAATTTTGCTGACTCAAAACAAACAAGACCCTTAACTAAAATTTCGGACGTGCTAGAAAGGATTAAAAAATTTAAAAAAAAAAATTTTAAAATAGTTTGGTCTTTCCTCTTAATAATAACATAAGCATTTAAACAATAAAAAATTGTTTAATCAAGTTTGGGGCCTTTTTTCATCAGGATATGCTCTTTTTTAGCGAAGTATTGAATATATATATATATATATATATATATATATATATATATGGGGATAACGATATATAAATTTTTATATATCAAGAACAGTTTTGAAAGAAAGTAGAAAAAGAAAATTTTCGTGTGACACGTTTCGTCCCTTAGGACTTCATCGGACTAGGTTCAATTCCGTTGATGCGACGACACATGCGCACGAATGAGAGACGCTGGGAATTTTAAGTTTGAATATTTATGTGTTTTGAGTATATAATCTAGCCAATTTAACTTGGATTTTTTTTTTTTCCATTTCCATTATCTTTGTTTTTAATAGTAAAACGTTGTAAGACTCTGGATGCAAATTTATTGTGTCTGAAGTAGCGACTAAAACACTTTCGAGACATTTTCATCTCAGTGAATTATTTTCTCTTTTAAGTAGACTAGCATTTTTTATGTCAAAATTGTGGTCTGTCTCGTTACGGTGAGCAACTAATGCGTTTAATATGTAGTTTTTTTTTTTTAAATGTCCCTTTCTTGTTCATATAATCTTTTATTTCAACTTCTTGAGGTTTCTCAATATATTATTTCTGGCAAACCTTGCTGGTGATAGAGTAAATTCCTCTTTCAGATTTTTTGCTTGGCTTTTGTATTGATTAAGTCTTTGATAGTTTTAGAATGTAGTTGTGACAAATTTTATGCTGAGTTTAGATAAATCCTTTTCGATTGTAGTTGTGACGGAGTTAACGGTGAACAATATATATATATATATATATATATATATTGTGTGTGTGTGTGTGTGTGTGTGTGTGTGTGTGTGTGTGTGTGACAGAGAGCAATAGTCACCCTTGAAATATTAATAATTATAGTAATATAGAATTTTATTTATAGATGAGAAAAATAATCTGTGGTGAGGTTTGTGCCCAGAGAATCTGTGCTTCGTCAGAATTATTAATATAGTGTTTATATGAACTATGAAATACCAATTGAGAAGAAGAGACTGTTCATTTAATCATGAAGGAGAAGAGGTCAGTAATCAGGTTGTATTCTATCTTACTAACACCCCGGGTTTTTTTCGTTACCGCCGCGTTTATTTAAGTGCGTGTTTGTGTGGAAACAAACAGTCAGTCGGAGTCGGAATCGGTAGAGTCCATCAAATTCAGTCGAAGCCGACCAGAGAGAGATAGAGAGATAGGCAGTGAGAGTAAAGGAGTCTGCTTGCTGCTGTAATAAGGGAGCAAGTGAACTCAAGTTATCTACAATATTGGCGCAATGCTGAGAGTGAACCCTCTTATATCCTGATAGTGAATTAATTACAGCAACTACTAAGAACAAAAAGGGTGAACCCGAAAACTACTTCTCTCCTTTCAGAATTATTTGCAATATTTTTTCTGGACTTTATTTCATATACACTATTTTTCTTGTAAAAGAAGCATTATTCTTTTTGTAGCTATTTCTTCCTTATATACATATACATAAATTTTTCTCGAATCGACTCGTTCATATTTGATTTTTCTGCTTGGCCCGATTCTTGCCCCAACGAACTTGCAGGTAGACCAGCTGTATCTTCCGGGATCTACGATTTGTTAATTGCCCTCAAGGATTAAAAAAAAAATCACAACGTGGCCGGAAAGTGGAATCAAATCGACATTGTGAACCGGAAGCTTTGATTGAGCCTGTACTACTAGACCCAGATAGGACCAACGGCTGATCTTGTAGAGTACATCGATCCAGTGGGGTCAGGATAGGTGTTACATATATATGAGAACGAATAGAGTACAATTCCAACGTTCATAACATTTAATTTAAAAGATGGCTCAATATAAAGTAGAGCAATATTATCTATTTTAGGATATTACATAGAAAACATGTGAAAATTTTACACAGTTGCAGTCGTGTTTCCATGTATCAAATGCATCTCATCAGGTGATTGTAAATTACAATTAGAGTAATTTACAATCACCCAATGAGATGCATTTGATTACATCAAACACGACTGCAACTGTGTGAGAGATTTTCACAAGTTTTCAATTTTCATCATCCTAGAATAATATATATATATATATATATATATATATATATATATATATCATTGAATGATATGTCTCATTGAATAATTTTGACAAGTTTTGTCTACTTATATTCAATAGGATGCTCTCATATTCATGGACAAGCTTCATATATATATATAAAAGTGGACATTGAAGTCAACATAGAGGCGACAGTCTGTTTCATGCTAGACACAATCGTCAGGTGGCCTGAAGATTGCACCTAGCATGAAACAAACTGTTGCCTCTAAGTGTTGACTTCAATGTACACTTTTATATTTACACATGCTCTACCTCTGATATTGAGCACTTTATCCCATAAATATAGCACACTTTAAGACTATACTTCTTCATATATATATATATATATATATATATATATATATATTTTAATTAATTCATCGAGTCTGATAGAAACTTCAACAGAATGCAGAAAGCACTGGACAGCCGTTTCATCCTATATTTGGGACTGCATCAGCAGTGCGCATCCACTACCGAGAATTGAAACCCTGACAGTTAGGTTGTCAAGCAAACATCATACCAACTGTTCTAATGGGCCTCGGTGATGAAGAGATTGCAAATCAGACTCAATATAACACCGCTCGCTCACATATTCCGTGGTGGAACCATACTGTGTAACCATAGGACTGTGCCCCCTGGATTATAATCTCTTTCATGATTAAACACAATTGTCAGATGTGATGATTGTGTTTAAGCATGAAGCAGAGTGTAAAAACATTCTTTATGTTTATAAGACTATTGCTTATTTTTTACCATGGCTTCGACTCATGAAACAAATCTAGTTAATTAAATACTTTCACTAAAAGTCAATTTTATATATTGAATGAAACCCTAAATTCTGATGATGGGGAAAAACATTATGAATTGTATTTTAACAATGATTGCATTTGGAATCAGTATACAGAGAGAAAATATAAGCTTTTCTTATCAACACACGCTGTATATACCACTATTCCAACCCTCCTAATTTCAACTTTAACCATTTCCAGCATAAACTAAACATTTTCAAAAGAGGAAGAAAAATACTGACAGAAAATTTGAGTTAATTTCATTATTCATTTCAAATATCATTAGAAATCATGAAAGAAAAAGATTGCCATTGGTCAAAAATTAATACAAGCATTACTAACAGACAAAAATAATTTTTAAGTACTTTATACAAGTTTTAATCATTTTGGAAGTGAATACCACCGTTAGCCAAATCTGTGAATTGTGTCTTCTACTCAGATTCTCTCTATAATCTGGTCATAAAAGAATCAAATATTTCATCAATATTTCCGTTTAATATCAACATGATGGCCGGAAGCCATGTAGAAAATGCTCAACAGAGAAACTTGAACAATTTTGAGAGACTTATGAAGTTGAAAAGGTATTAAAATTTGTTGTAAATATGTCTTTGCTGTTGCTTTTGAAATTTTTAATAAAAAATACTTGACAGAAAATGTTGTCATGAAAATATACCAGGGGTGCTAAAGAACTCTTGGATGCATCAAAAAATTCCCCAAAATTATGATGTTCAGTCATTTGATCATATCTGGAGGAATGAACACCCTTTCATATATATATATATATATATATATATATATATATATATATATATATATATATATATATATATATATATATATGTGTGTAAAAAATTAAAACATATACATGTTATAACATCACTAGAAAAATTGCAATTTATTTTCAACACTACTGGTGTCTTATTAAGTGATGGTGTTGATTGCAAAATAACATATATATACATATATATATATATATATATATATATATATATATATATATATATATATATATATATATATATATATATATATATATATATATATATATATATATATATATATATATACATATATATATATATATATATATATATATATATATATATATATATATATATATATATATATATATATATATATATATATATATATATATATGTATATATATATATATATATTTTATATATATATATTTATAGATATTGTATATATATATATATATATATATATATATACAATATATTATTTTTTCAATCAACACCACTTGATAAAGACAAAAGTAGTTTTGAAACTAAATTGCAATTTTTCAAGTGATGTTATATATATATATATATATAATAAAAATAAGTTATATACCGTTTTAATGTATCTATATATATATAAAAATATAGTTTTATGGGTAAAAGTGCTCAGTATCAAAGATAGAGCATATGTAAATATATAAGTAGACACTGAGTTTGACATCAAGTGGTGACAGTCTGTTTCAGGCTTCAATTCAATCTGCAGCTCATGAAGATTTCACTCAAGCATGTGTAATGTCTCCTTTGAAGAAAATAAAGGAAATGACCAATCCAGAGTTTTCTTTCACACCATTGTTGTAACCATCATATAATGACTCCTCTGATTAGTCAAAGATGAATTAATAACAGTCCTGCCCCGTTCGACCTTGCTAGGCAATTTAGAAACTCTTTTGACGACTTACCCAGAACAGTAAAAATGTACTGAGCTGTTTTCATGTTTCTTTTGTTGTGGTCAGTTATTAGAAGTGGATCCTCATTGTATATAATTGTAACGGTGTCCAAAACACATGAAACAAACTGTCACCACTTGGTGTTGACCTCAGTATCCACTTATATATATATATATATATATATATTAAGCATTAAAATTAATTATGCATGTAAAAATTAAATTCTATCTTCCTCCTAGCTCAAGAAAACACTAGAACACTCAAGAATTAACAAGCGTATATGTCTAGAAAACTGGAAGTCAAAATGGCTACAACTGAAAGCAAAGAGTAAAAGAGAGAAAAGTTTAATGTGTGGGTTTAAAGTGAAAAAAAAAATCAAAAATACAAATAACCATGACATTCTACACGTACACACAGAGGGGTGCATGGGCCCACATTCAAGAATGCACACACATTCACACATATATACACTATAGAAAAGAACTTATGCAATGAAAAGTACAAGTATAAGAAGTCAATTGTTTATACCTCCTGACGAGTGGATAGAGTGATTCCCAAGTGGTCAGTCTATGAAACTCTGGGGTCAGGATTCTGAAGTTAACATCAATCAGCTAAGTGACAAACCTTTTACATGTATTAATTATATATATATATATATATATATATATATATATATATATATATATATATATATATATATAATAAATATATATATATATATATATATAGTAAAGATAAGGAAAAAGATCAAAGAACTTATCTTAGGACTGACTACAAGTTTCATAGACATACTGCTCATCAGATAACAGTTTTGATCTTTCCCTTATAGAGTTGCTTTATTTTTATGTTAAGCATTTCCTTTACAAGAATCTGCTTGCCTTTAAATGTGTTAATTTTTAGTATTTTATGTGTTTTTATTAAGCATAATAGATTTTTGTCATTATGCATTTCTATTTCAACATGTTTTGTAGATGATTCAACTTAAAGTCTACAGAAGGTGTCAACTGTGTACACTATTTTTAAGAATGTGGGTGAGTGTTCATGCCTGTCAAAATATCGACCCATTAACCTCCTTACTGTCAAGGAAACTATTTGAATGTATAATCAACAAGACGGTTGTTGAACACCTCAAAAGAAACAACATTCTGAGCAATAACCAGTATCGATTTCATTCTGCTAAATTCACAGAATCAGGGAAGCACTAGACAATAAATTCATCAAGACGGACATCACCCAAGATATATCAAAAACCTTTGACAAGGTGTGGCATTGGGGGACAGCTACATAAACTCTCCAGATATGGAATCTCTGGAAGAACTTTCTAAAATTACAAAACCTTTCCTCGTAATATCATGTTAATGGCCACACATTGGAAGCCAATCAGATCAATACTTGCATTTCCCAGGGTTCTCTTATTTGTTCTACCCTCTTTCTATTCTATATTAATGAATTTTTAAGAACATACTCCAATCGCTAGTGAATATCTATGCAAATGATACAACAGTTTATAGGTGCACCTCCTTGAATGTCTTTTGAAACTCAAGCACACCCCAGAACTCAAGTCGTACTCATATATATGATCAATTACTAAAGATTGTATGAAAATATTCTTTATACTTCTCCTTATCTGACCCCCACTGTCACTGGATCGAACTAACGCCTTTATCCACTGTGCCATGTGTCAAGGATAAAGTAGATAAAGGTGTTAGATCCAGTGACAGGACCCAAAGAGTGTGACTTCGATACCCATAGGCAGTGGAGAACTTTCAGAGGTGAATTAACAGGAGACAACTGATAACTAACATCCATTAAACATGGCATGTGGAACTAGAACAGTCTACCCCAATGAGCAAAATAAAGGTTACAGTTTGACATTCCAATGACCTGAAGAAGGCCAGAGCATACAACGACTGAAACGTTGTAATAAATATGGTGACAAAGATGAGGACAATAGTCCAAATAATGTAAATAAAATACATTTTCATAATAAAAAATATTACCAACTATACATTTTTTGTAAAAGAAATTACTAATGCTCCCAAGAAAATTAAATTTTGGCATTAAATGACCCATGAGGATGTTGATATGCCACTAAACAAAGAAATTTTCTTCTACTCATGCAACATGACACATTAAAACTCTATGTTGAGTGGCTCTTGAGACTTGTATTGGGTGAACATTAGTATAAAAAAAAAGAAAAATTGTATTTCAAAAGAACAAAACCTATGTAAGTGAGACAAGGTGGAATATATTTTTTTTAAAAAAATGAAAAGAAACACATAGGCAAGATATATGCAAAAAAATGCCTTTAAAATGACAGAAAAAGAGATTTGAGGAAATGGAAAAGGTTAATAAACAAGAAAGCGAATTGAGCAGCAAGAAAATATTTCAAAAAGCTAATGTTTGAAATGCAGAAAAAACAGATGTAGAAGATTGGCTGAAGCAATCAAACTAACATCTTTAATTAAAACTCACAAAAAGAAACATGTAAGTTGAGCAAAGAAGCACATGAAAACTGTTTTCTCAACAATAATGTTTACAGATGTATGTAAAGCTATATTGGATGGACTGGATGGCTGGACTAATGTTTAGGTCCTTAATGAAAATAGTCAATAAACTTGACTTAAAAGATTGGGGAGGTTATGAAAGTCTTGGGATAGTATTGTTGTGAGCTATTTAGGTTCCTTCAAAGTTCAGGATAATATCAAGATAAATGTAGAGAATTATCTCAATTTCTTGGACAAAGCATTTTGAATAATACAGAACATGATCACAAAGCTTTAAGCTAGAGAGTATAAGGATGCAAGACAATACTCTTTCACATTCTAGAAAGCTGACTATTGCTCACCTGTTGCCTTTAATTTATTGTCTTTAAATACATTTTTATGTTAAATAAAAATGTATTTAAAGACAACAGATTAATGGAATGGACCCCAACCTTTCCCAATATTAATCCAATAGACAACTTGTAGTCTAAAATTATATAAGAATGTAACAGTATTCAAGCAAAGATTTCTTGGAAACAATAAAAAAATTTTACTACAAGTAATGTTAAAATTGAAACATTAGACAAGTTGCAAAATCAATGGTTGAAAGACTGGTGACGGTTATAGAATGTCAAGGAGCTTATATTAACATGTAGAATAATTTAAAAAATTTTAACTTAAAATTTTTTTTAAAAATTTAAATATGTAGAATAATTTAAAAAATTAAAACTTATTCTGTGTGTTATAGTGTGTTAATTAAATATATGTTTCTGTGGGCTGAATCTTCATAGATTTATGTTAAAAAAATTAAAATTCAAAATATATATTTAAAAAAAATTAACATATGAAAAATTAAACTGCAAAATGCCTGCTAAACAAATTATTACCGATATTTTTACAATGAGGACGGATATTATAAACTGAAATTCAAAAGGTATATTTTTCATAAAAATATAAGTATACATTGAAAATTTTACTGACATTAGTTGGTCGATGACAACTTTATTGTGAAGTGATTGATTTGCATAATAAAGTATGGCACAAGATAGATAGATAGATAGATAGATAGATAGATAGATAGATAGATAGATAGATATGAACTGAATAAGATAGATATGAACAGAATTAGATAGATAGATAGATAGATAGATAGATAGATAGATAGATAGATAGATGAATAGATATAAACAGACTGAGATAGATAGATATAAACAGACTGAGATAGATAGATAGATAGATAGATAGATGAATAGATATTAACAGAATGATATAGATAGATATAGATAGATAGATGATATAGATAGATATGAACAGATTGAGATAGATAGATAGATAGATAGATAGATAGATATGAACAGATTGAGATAGATAGATAGATAGATAGATAGATAGATAGATAGATAGATATGAACAGAATGAGATAGATATGACAAGTAATCTTTCCAAAGCAACTGATCTGTATAAATTTCCTATTATTGAAATGACGATGATAAGAAACAAAAGAAAAACAAAATGGAAAGTTGATTGGATTAATTTCAGAAACTCAAGTAACCCTTCTGCAGACCTCCAGGCACAGGTGTGGCTTCCTTACATATGATTCCATAAGTATTTGGTGTTATTATTGGATGAAATCTCAGAATCACCAAGAAAAGTGAATCCATAATAATTTCTTATGACACTAGTGGATTTTGAAAGTGTCAGTTGTTAACTATTTCCCAGACAAATGGGTGGGACTTCAAATGGACAGTCGGTGGCTGGAGCACATTCATAGGAGCAGTGAAGTAACCTTTGGAAATTATGGCAATTATTTTTCCTTTCCTTTCAGTTCTTTGAAAGATGTTTCTGCTTCCTTGTACATCAGCCATTGTCCCAGAGTATTTTGATAACTCCCACAGATATTTATTAAGCATAGCATTGTATGGCAAAAGGTCAAATGAGAAAGAAATCGACCAGCAAGATTTTGCTGTGTCAGCCTTCCAAACGAGAAGCTCTTATCTACATAGAAAATCAGTATTTGAAATTCTGGCTAAAATCTGTAAAGAATTAAAATGGTTACATATTTTTCTGAAAGTATTTTAGGTGGAGGAGGGGGTTCAAATGTAAACAATTAAAGAAGAAGAATGCAAAAACTGGGGTTCCTACATCACACCGTTTATTCTCCTTTTTTTATATAAACTGTCGTGAAACAAAGTTCTCAATATCTCTTAGGTATTTCCATTTTCCAAAGAGTTGGAACAGCTAAAGGAAAGTTTGCACTTGCTTTATCATTGGAAGGTTTAAATATGGTTATAAGAATTTCATTTTCTTTTTCTTAGACCAGACATAGGTTAGCCATTTTTATGATTCTTGCATCAAGAAAATATGAAGAAAATAACAAGGAAAGCTATGCTTGTAAAATGTAAATGAGAAATTATAGCTTTACTCTAATCGGTTACAAATGGTAATTATTACCATCAAAGATAAATCCATATAAACTAAGAGAAACAGGTTAGGAAAAAAAGGGTTTTTATGTTAAAATCTTCCCACTGGTTCTAATAAGGAACCATAAAATAATTTGCGGATTATACACAAAATGGTTTGACGATACATATAGCTATATATTTCACATAATTATTTCCCTTTTACAGAATTCACACATCAAAATGGCAGACTGCTAACTGCAAAGGTTTTAAACAAATATATACTCTGTTTCAGTTTAATAAAGCAAAATTTAATTCTTTCATTGGTTATTCGTTATAGAGTGCAAACAAAATGCTCTTTATAAATATCATTTACATTAAAATGAGTATTACAAAAAACATAATTGTTGATATTTGTTTAGGTTGGTTTAATTTGCCACAAGTCAATAGCAATAGGTCACATGATGAAGATCAAGAGGGGAAAAATAAGTTGAAAAGAGATATATGAATATATTGAGATATGGTTCTGTTTTTGGTTTGGTTTGGTTTGGTTTGTTTTACGGCATATCAATCTCAATGCCGTCTTTTTTTCCCTGGTAATATTTTTGTTTTGCTAAAAATTCATTTCTGTTAATATTTTTTTCCTCAAAAATGTATAGCTGGTAATATTATTTTTTCAAAAACATATAGTTGGTAATATCCTATAATGCTTTTTACCTCAGTTTTGGGCTTAACTATTTGCCCATAGCTGGGACCCTAACAGGTGCTACCACCCTGGGTCAGGGTGGACCTGGGAACACCAGCAATTAAGAGGTAGTTCCATGCTCCTCAAAACCTCCTGATCAGAGGCCTTGCTGTTGGATGTAGTTTATTGTCATACCCAGGACACAGATGTAGTTTATTGTCATACCCAGGGCGCAGATGTAGTCTCAGTTTCAGAGTTAACTATTTGCCCATAGCTGGGACCCTAACAGGTGCTACCACCCCTGGGAACACCAGCAATTAAGAGGTGGTTCCACGCTCCTCAAAACCTCCTGATCAGAAGCCTTGCTGTTGGGCGTAATTTATCGTCTTACCTAGGACACGGATGCAGTTTATCGTCATACCCAGGACAGGGTTCTGTTTTGAATATATATATATATATATATATATATATATATATATATATATATATATATATATTTCATATCTCATGATATCTTATGAATGTTGTGTTTATATATATATATATATATATATATATATATATATATATATATTTTCATATCTCATTTATGAATGTTGTGTTTATATATAGATAGATAGATTTACATGAATAGATAACTAATGAATTCCTCAGTTTAACTTAAATTTGGCACAAGGACACCTTTGTCAGAGTACTCACTTTAGATCATAAAGCAAGATCCAAATACTTTGCTTTATTGAAAATAGATATAAAATTACATACAGGCAGAGATGTGTATAGATAGATACATAGATAATGTACAGACTGAGATAGATAGATGTAAACAGACTTTGATAGATATGAAGACACTGACATTAGAGAGAGAGAGATAGTACTGTAAAAACGGGCGTTCTAATAAAACTCAATGGATGAAAAAAATTTTTCTACTGACCAACTTTATCACAACTAAAATTGAAAACAATTTATCTAAGCTTAACAAAATTTTTTTACAACTACTTCTAAAACAATAAAGGACTATGTATTTTATTAATACAAAACAAAATAATAAGCTAAAACTTGAAGGAAGAATTTACTCCATCACCTGTAATGATTGTCATAAGGAATACATAGGAGAAACCTCAAGGAATTTAAATAAAAGATTATATAAAAGCGAAACAACACACTCAATACTTTGGTTGCTCAACATAATGACCATAATTTTGATTTAAAAATTCTATTTTAATTAAAAGAGAAAGCAATTTACTAAGATGAAAATGTATAGAAAGTGCCTTAATTGCTAGATCATTTACAGTAAATTTGCATCCATGTTATTGCAACATTTCAGCTTTCTTGGTAGATCTATTATCACAATGTGGAATATTTAATAACAAAAGTGATAAAAACATAAACAAAAAGAAAATTAAACTAAATAGAATTAGTTAGACTACGTATCCAAAAGACATATTTAAAAAAAAATTAATTTAAATATAAAATTCCTCACTGTCCCCACTCCTTCAAGTGAATGTGTAATAACATCAACATAAACATCTCTTTAGTCTGATGAAGTCCTAAAAACAAAATGTGTCACATAAAAACCTTTTTCACTTTGTCATAGAGTTTCCCAAAATAGATAGATATGAACAGACTAAGATAGATAAGATAGCTAGATAATATATGAATAGATAGATAGATATGAACAGACTAAGCTAGATAATATATGAATAGATATATAGATAGATAGATAGATATGAACAGACTAATATAGATAAGATAGCTAGATGATATATGAATAGATAGATAAATAGATAGATAGATAGATAGATAGATAGATAGATATGAACAGACAATGGTAGATAAGATAGCTAGATTATATATGAATAGATAGATACATAGATATAAACAGACTTTTATGGTATGTAAAGAAATGTAAAACGCAGATAAAGAATTAAGAACTTTTCTACAATGTCCACCCCCCTACTTCCCTGACCACAAAAAATGAAAAACATCATTCAGCCCTAATTTAATATTCCTCAAGATGCAATGAAATAAATTTCCTCTTTCTCAAACTCTACTTGTGGCCATGAAAGTTTTCAATCAAGCAACATAAAAATTATTGGATTTCCTGGGAGCTTTCTCTTTGGATTCCAGCAATCAAAACTAAGAAAGAAAATGATGACTAAATGAAAGACTGCTTCCAAGAAAAAGGAAATCTACCTTTTCCAAATCTCTTCTCTTAGAAATACTCTTGGATATTTCCTAAGCCACTTTTCCTTAATTAATTTTTTAAGATAAATCCCTATACTTTGATGACTAACTATGAATAGCACAGTACGCTATAACCATAAGAAGTAAAAACAGTCCTCATTTCTGATTTTATTCTATAGATGTGCATCTTGAATAAAGAGCAAAACTGCTCTTTATCTCATTGGACGTCCCATCATAGATCAAGGATGTCGGTTCAGCTGAACGATGTGGGAGTGGTTTACCTAATTTTCTTTTCTTTTATTTGGAATGAGCTTATTTTGATTTGGGGTTTTTTTGTAAGTAGCTGATCACTTTGGTATGCAAATAATCTAGAAATTGAATTCTTTCTCTGCCATTGCCTCATCCTATTTTGTATGAGTCACTCTGAATAAGCAGAAAGCATAAATAAATGAAAAATAAAAATTTCAGAAACTTTTTGCTGTGTCAGTTCATATTATTAATAATTGTTTACAACAGTTTGGGATCGGCACTTTGTTGGATGCCAAATCAGGGATTGATTTATGGCAGAAATATGAAATAAAATGCTTTGGTTTCTATACCTTCCAAAAGATAAGACTATTGATTCAAACAGTAGACGGTACTGCCTCATCTCATAAATAAATAATTTTCTTCCAGTCCTTCCTACTGAAGGTTTGTCCTGGGTAAGACGTTAAACTACATCCACATCCTGGGTAAGACATAAAACAAAATAAACCAAAGAATACATACTCTATTCATACAAATCTATCCTAAAAATGTTGTCGGCATTAAATAACACATTGAGGTTGATATGCTGTAAAACAAAATAAACCAAACCAATCTAAACCAAAGAATACATATTCTATTCATACGAATCTATCCCACTGAAGGTAAAATTAGGTGATGCTCCATTATTATAGTGCAAAACCGATCCCTCATTTTGTGACCATTATATATATAATCATCTAAATAAAATTCTCAATGCTTCTATTGCCTGCTTGTTGTTTAGTAAATGTAATTTGGTTTTGGCAAAAAGACACAAATATAGGGTAGCCAATGAGAATGTCATTACATTGATAATAGTCTGCAAGATGACAGAGTGACCATCAATCGGATGGCATCATTGGGATCTATAGGGTGCAGGTAAGTTATTTTGCTGCATAATTGATGGTTACATTTTTTTCTCTCTGTTTAATTTTATCTCTGTTTCTTTATTTCATAAATTGTAGATGATCCGATGTTATATAAATCACACAGACTTTATAAGACATGCCACTCTCAAGATTTTTTCAATAGATAACATAATCTGTTATGGACATTGTACAATGTTTGAATTTCACACCACAAAAACCACTTTCAGTATTTATTGGAGACATGACTAAGACTAAATATCTTCTTCTTCTTCTTCTTCTTCTTCTTCTTCTTCTTCTTCTTCTCCTCCTCCTCCTCCTCTTTCTTCATCTCCTTCTTCTTCTTCTCCTCCTCCTCCTCTTTCTTCATTTCCTTCTTCTTCTCCTCCTCCTCTTTCTTCATCTCCTTCTTCTTGTTCTTCTTCTTCTTCTCCTTCTTCTTCTCCACCTCCTCCTCCTTCTTCTTCTTCTTCTTCTCCTCCTCCTCCTCTTCCTTCTTCTTCTTCTTCTTCCTCTTCTCCTCCTCCTTCTTCTTCTTCTTCTTCTTCTCATCCTTCTTCTTTGGCTTCTTCTTCTCCTCCTCCTTCTTCTTCCTCTTCTCCTCCTCCTTCTTCTTCTTTTTGCTTTCTTTCTTAAACTTTGTTCTGTCAACAATTTACACACTTTTTATGTAGGTTATTGTTGAAACTTGACTAATGCATGGAATAATAATGCAACACAAAATGTACTTAGAACAAAAGGTATTGAAACAAGAAAGTGTACACAATATTTACATATAGTCTTTTGTATATTCCTGGGAAGACCGTTCCTGGAGAATGTGTTGACTGAGTCGCAGTCGGGCAGAGTCTCTGGTTGAATCTCTTGATTCCCTCCTCTCTTCCCGGTACCAACCATATTTATATGGTCGGTACTCCACTATGCAAATTAGGTGGATCCTACCACAACAGTTATGCAGTTTTCCTCTGTCTCTCTTGTCTTTAATGTCCTGTGAGTGTCAGATTTTCTAAGCCCTCTTTCCTCATTATGCATCTTGGAAATTTTATCTGTCTCTCTTTTTATGTTAAGTATAAGTGTCTATTTTGTTTCCATTTTCTCTAAAATTCTGTTGCTTGTCACATGTTCAGTCCAAGGTATTCTCAGCATCCTACTGTAGAACCACATTTCTATTGTTTCAGGTCTCTTCTTTATCTGTGAGAAGATTTTCCCATTCACTGCCAGAATTGATTAAGCTTCTCAATTCACACAACCTCCTTTCAGAAAAACAATGTTTCCATTTCTCCAGATCTACCATCAACGTGTTAATGGCTATCACTGAATCTGTCTATCAAGCTTTAGATAAGAATGGCAAAGTTCCGGCTTTCTTGAAGATGTTCAACAGGGTTTGGCCTGCTGGCCTTCTCCATAAGTTCAAGGGTTACAATGTATTTGGCTTAATTCAATTGTTCCTAACAAATCCTACTTTCACATTAATGTGCCAGTTCCCCAGTTCTTGTGAAGAAGCTGTTTGAATGTAACTTCCTCCTTACTAATGGAATACAAAGGAAATGAGAACTGGAAAGAGGCTAAAATTTAAAATTAACTTGTCTAAAATTTCAAAATGATAACAATGCAATGTATCAAATCTTTCCAGAAGTATTGTCCAAAATTTGATCGCACGATTGTTTGACTGATATTTGAGCCATTCTAAAATGATTAAATCATGAATAAATTCTCTTGAAGATGCAAAGGAATAAGAAATTTACTGCCAAAAGAAATAGGGGGCATAATTCCTGTTAAGTGACAGCTTTCTAAAATATGTAAAAATGATAAGTAAATGATATGATATAAAATATGTAAATGATATGTAAATAATATGTAAATGATCTGTATACGATATAAAATATGTAAATGATATGTGATATGTAAATGATTTGATATAAGATATGTAAATTATATGTAAATGATACGTAGATATGATAAAATATGTTAATGATATGTAAATAATATGTAAATGATATGTATATGATATAAAATATGTAAATATGTACTTTGTAAATGATTTGATATAAGATATGTAAATTATATGTAAATGATGTGTAAATGATATGTAAATAATATGAAAATTATTCTTATAATACTTACCTGGCTTATGCCAGAGGTTATCTCCCAGACGAGGCTCTGCCAAAGGGCAGAGTCTTGTCTCGGGAAACTGACTCCGTTTTTACATGGTCCTATAGGAAATTTTTGCCCGAGCCTACAGGCTTGGATACCTCACTTTAAACTCTTGTGCCACATCTTGCTGCGTGGGACAGCAGGTAAATAATTATATGTCGATATGATATAAAATATGTAAATGATATGTAAATAATGTGTAAATGATATGTAATATGTAAATGATATAATATGCAATATGTAAACAATTTGATATGAAATATGTAAATTATATGTAAATGATATGTAGATATGATAAAATATATAAATGATATGTAAATGATGTATAAATGATATCAAATGATATGTATATGATATAAAATATGTAAATGATATATAAATAATATGTAAATGATATGTAATATGTAAATGATATAATAGGCAATATGTAAACAATTTGATATAAAATATGTAAATTATATGTAAATGATATGATATAAAGCATGTAAATGATAAAATTGCATATCAGCAAATTTTTTCCAAAACTAATTCCAGAATTACATTTGTGATTATTTTAGCAAACAAATCTAAAATTCCGAAATGATATAAATAAATAGGATAATGTCTTTCTAGAAGGAGGAATCTCCCATATCGGATAGTGAGAGCTAAACTGATATTTTTGCAATTAATACCAAAATGATAACAATAATTACTACCAAGACTTTTCAGAAGGAATGAGAAAAAAAAAACTATAGCAATATTCCAACTTATATTCTGTAATTCCAAAAAGATTTCTCTACATTACCTCAACTTGTACGTATTTCCCCAAATCACTTTGTAAATTAATTATATATTTTAACTCTTAAAATATCTAAATGACAGTTCATCCAAGGTAATGTTTGACATCCAATAAGCATATTTTTTTTTTCTATTCTAAAAAGCTTCAATAATAGCAATTAGTAGATGTTCATTCAGTTAGTATCAAGTAATTACAAATTGGAGATACCAAAGTCAAACAAGTAAAACAATTTAAATATCTGGGAAGTGTTTCAACAGAGGACAGAAAGTGTGACACTAAAACTTGAAGAGGCATTGGGATAGCGAAAGATGCTTTCCAAAAGCTAAGTAAATTATTAAGAAGCAAGAAAATTTTATTAGAAACAGAGAAAAGAGTACTTAAATATGTAATCAGTCCTCCTCTATGGCAGTGAATGCTGGACAATCACCTCACAGATGAAGAAGAGACTTGAAGTAATAGAAATATGGTTCAACATCAGTCAGTCATATGCCATGCGTGATACATGCTTAGGCGATCCTGAATCCTTTGATACATGACTGACAAGGCAGATTTTTTTTCCCGTGTTAGGTTGCCATTTCTTTCTTCAGTAGACCAGTTGCTATCCAAGGCTATAGAACCCAGCCTGTCTTGCTATTTACCCATAACTGGGGAGAGAAGAAGAGATCTCATACCTTTTCCCAAGGGTATTAGCACGTAAGTGAATGTAATGGATTCCACTGGAATT